CAGAGCTTTCAAAAGGCTACAGAGGCAGCAGCTCACCGCTGGTGGGACGTGCGTGGGGTGGAACTGAAGAGAGATGCTGGGAAAGCGAGCAGGGAACTCAAGCTCCTCTGGTGTGTCCCCTGGCATCTTTCCCAGGTGGTGACCGTGGCTGTTTACAGCTTCTTCCTGGCCTGTCTGATCGGGCGGCAGTTCCTGGATCCAGAAAAAGCATATCCTGGCCATGAACTAGATCTCTTCGTGCCCGTCTTTACGTTTCTGCAGTTCTTCTTCTACGCTGGCTGGTTAAAGGTAAGTCCAAAAAACCATGTCTGGAGCTGGAAGCTGACCCAGCCAAGGGTTTTTCCCCAGCGTGCGCTCACGAGGAACCCAGCTGTGTCCTTTGGTCTGAGGGCAACGTGCCAGGTGGTGGCAGACAGAAGGGGAGCCAACGGGGGCTGAGGGTATTTGCAAGACCTTCTCAGTTTCCAAGTTTCTTGCCTTGGACACCAACTCCACTTTTCCTAAGCTTTGGTCCTGACTAATTTGGGGAAAAAAAAAAAAAAAAAAAAAGAGAGGCAGTGAGCTACACTTTACCTGCAGTGGTGGTCTGCAGTTGCAGGAGGGTTATGTGAGCGAGGGGCAGTTCCCTGTGGGTACCAACATCTCCAAGCTGCTGGCAAGCCTCCATTTTTAACCCACCCCTTTTTGGAAGGAACAGCATTGCTCTGAATTCAAGGGACATCACGCTTGACTCTGCCCCACAGGCCTTCTCCCTGCAGGGAAAGGGGCAGGTATGGCTACGATGACCCTTGCTGTGTTGCTCTCCACATGCAGGTGGCCGAGCAACTCATCAACCCTTTTGGGGAGGACGATGACGACTTTGAAACCAACTGGCTCATCGACAGGAACCTGCAGGTAATGTGAAGGGAGGATCCTCCAGATGAGCCTGACCTGCAGAGGATCACCGAGGCAGGACTGCGCCTGATGGTTTAGCAAGCCCCATCGGTGCAGTCACGAAGTTCTCCTGCAAGACCTCCACCACCCACCTCCCCCGCCTGCAGTGGGGCGGAGAAGCAGTCCCCATTGCCCTTGCGCTTTCCTGAGGTGTGGGTGGCTGTGTTTAGAAGGAGCCTGGGATCTCCAGAGGGCCTGGAGAGCAGGAGGAGAGCATGAGGCTTCCCAACAAATACAAGGGTGAAGGTGGCCAGCTCAGCGTTCTCCCCCAGCAGCCAAGGAGACATCCCAAGCTCCAGGAAGAATGTGGGGCAAGGCCCGTGCCAGGAAGACCCCCCTCACACCAGGGCAGACAGGGCTTTTGGTGTTCTCCTGTACACAGAGACCAATTGCAGCTTTAGTCAGTACTCTGGCACACGTGTTGGATCCAGAGTTTGTTTCACGCCCTCCCTGCCTTTCAGTGACACATCATTCCTGCCTGGCCTGAGCTTCTTCCACACTGTGTGTCTAAAACTGCTTCCTCTGCTTTCTTCTGTGCGATAACTCTCCACCTTCAGCCCTCCCTAACACCGAGCCCTTCAGTCCTAGCGAGAGTACTGCTTTCCTGTCTCCTTCGGCATCACTTTCCTTCCAATTAATCCAATCTCTCCGTGTGGAAAAACGACCCGAGTGCCAGGAAACCACACAGCAAACCCAGCGGCTTGCCCGTGCTACATCGCTTCCTCCTGCCCTGCGTTCCTCTGCCCGCCGATACCGGGCACACGTAACGCTGCTCGCCCCGTATGACGTTGCTGCTGTCCCCTGCAGGTCTCCCTTATGGCAGTGGATGAGATGCATCAGGATTTACCCATCCTGGAGAAGGATCCGTACTGGAACGAGCCCGACCCCCAGCCACCGTACACCGCAGCCACCGCTGAGTACAAGCGCCCATCGTTCCTTGGCTCAACTTTTGATATCAGGTGGGTGCAGCAACAGGGTGTCAGAACAGTCCACCTTTACACCTTGGATCAGGTCTTACTTGAAGAGGTAAGAGCGAGCAGTAATATCTTTCTCTGTAGTTTGTGAAGTCTTGCTCCAAGATACTTTTAGCCTCGTCCAAAGACGATAGCCAATACCCTCCACAGAAAAGGGTACCTCTGACATCTTGCCCCCCCGCCTCCCCTCTGCCATGAGCATCCCTATTCTGAATAGGGCCTAACACGTATCTAACAGCTACATGGGAAGCGAGAAGCTTGCCTCTGGCAGCAGCGTTCCCCGTGCTGCTCCACCAGAAACCACCTTCACTCGCGACTGCATAATAGCCTGTTTTGCCTTTCCCCAGCATGCAGAAGGAAGAGATGGAGTTCCAGCCCCTGGAGCAAATTAAAGAGAATGAGGAGGCAAATCACTCCACACCGTTACTGGGACACCTGGGCCGCCTCCTCGGCGTCCAGTCACCGAGCTTCTCCAGGTCCTCTTCCCGGATGAACCTGCTGCGCAGACGGGGAGACCCCACATCCCCCTTCTCTCATTATACATACCAAGACATGGGCAAGTCTGGAAGCCCTTGCAGCATCAATCAGCCAAGGGGAGACTCCAGCTCACAGGAGCAGTGGGACAGTGAAGACAGAAAACTAAGGGAGTTCGATGCCTTCATGTCAACCCCATTTTATGAGAGACCTGGTTTCTACAGCGCTCCACAGACACCGATCAGCTCTATCCCCATGATCTTCCCTTCTAGACGCCAAGGTCGCAAGAAACCTCCTGCACTCTCCAGCATCGCTGCATGCTCGACTTCTCTTAGGGATGTCATTGTCAACTCCTCTCCTTCCAGAGTCAGCGATATGTATAAAAGCCAGAGCTCCCTTGGCTCAGGTGCAAAAGAAACATTTATTTGGCCAACAGATCGGAGCAAAGGTCCTGACTCACTGGTTTTAACAGTGGAAGAAGAGAAAAACAACTCGAACAGTAAAAGCAGAGAAGCTGCCACCACAGGGAGTCCAGGAGCTCAGTCCACAGCATCAGACAGCCCTAAATTCCCCTTCCTGGCAGAATCCCCAGACCACGAGAAGCAGGGTAGCTTCAAGAGTCTGAAGAGCTTGAAAGCTTCCCACCCACCCTGGCTAACCCTGGAGAACACAGCATCAGCCACCCCCAATTCTGAGCATTCAAGTGCCTTTCACACCCCCAGCAACAAAACTCCCATAGGCAGCGCCTCCCTCTGCTTCTCATTCACTCCTGTAACATCTCCAGTGCTGGAGAGATCCCACATGGGGAACATGGGCCCAGACGCTCGCAGCCTAAGTTTAGAAGATGCAGCCAGCGCTCCAGACCAGCATCCAGCAGAGGTTTCCAGGACCATGAGAGATCCTGGAAACGGAGGCACAAACACTCCTCCTACAAAAGAGCCAAGACGAGCAGAGAGTCTATCCCCCAACGACTCTGGCATCTCTCTAGCCGAAGGTGACTACGTGGGGCTGATGGAGGTGATCATGGAGACCAGCGAAAGCCCCTGTGAAGAACAGATAGATCAGTACAGCTAGAGGAGACCAAGAGGCACGCACAGTTCCGTTGAGATACCTGCCACATTAGTGATACCGCAGCATCTGTCCACCTGGCCACACTGGCGCTCACCCAACCAGAAGGACAGTGCAGCCAAACCTCCTGCTGCTGGACCACACGGCTGGAGCCCAGCCTAGGCTAAAGCCAGCATTAGTGACACACTGCTACTGGCCTCAGGTACAGTAGCAGGCACAACTTCAGTGTTACAACAACAAAACAAACAAAACCCCCTCTACATTTGTAGCAAAAGAACAAACAAGACTTTGCGTGTTTGGTATTGCAGGTACCTCACAGCAGAGCAGTATCTCAGCAGGTACCAGCCTGAAGAACCCAGAGTGCAGGTGTAGCACAAAATAGAAGAGGAATATAGTTAATAAGGACACCTTCCCCCCCCCCCCGGCCCCCATCACAGCAAGAATTGGAACTTGAGCTTTATATTAACGTTTGTCATAAGATCCATTACAAGTCTTAGGCGGGACTCGCACTACTGCCAAGGTACTCCAGGAAAAGTAAGGGACAGAAGCAAGTCACATCATTTGTGACACAGACCCATAGCGCTTCTTGAAGTCACAGCTAGCTGGTGTTTTCCAGTACTGGAAAAAGTAATGGGATAAGGCAGGGGAAGCATCTACTAGAACCAAGAACAAGTGTCTGCAGTCAATGGTATTTGCCCACCACATTGCTTCCTTTTGAAGTTCCAGATCACACTTGCCACTGATTTGACGGTGCTCAGAGAAGTCATCTGGACAGTAGCAGACACCATACAGCTATGAGTTTTTACCGTCTTCCCTAAGAAAATAAAAGCAAGGCTCAAGTCTGGGACCACCTGTTTTGTTTCCTCATTTTAGTTCCCATGCAACAACAGGAATTTAGAGAAACCACAGTTTTCCTACTTCCTCTGTCTTCAGAAACAGCTGCAAATTTCCCATATCACAGAAGGCACATGACGGATTTACCTCCCACATCCCTTCCAATGCCTCCACAACAGCTGCCTACCCTCTCTGCCTTTCAGGTACAGCTGCTATACCCAGGCAGATGCCACCACCGCCCACTCCAACTCCTCATACAGTGTCCTTGAGGCAGTTCCTGCAGCACTGCTGTTTCAGTCCAGCCTCATGGCACTACAAAGCTCCGAATTCTTGATTCTCAGCACATTTTCTCCATACATAACTGCAGCGCCATTTGTTAGGCAGGCACGATGCCTAGCGAGGCACTAACCCTCCCTTCAGTAGCCTCACCTAAATTCACAGGGACCAGTTCAGGCAGCTGAGATACTCAAGCCTTTCTTTCCTCGCATGTACATTATAGCAACAGCTTCGGTGGCAAAGGCATTTCAAATGCAACTTCAGTCACTGCGCAATTCCTGTAGTAGATCCCACTGGATTAGAAAAAAACTGTAATTTTTATAAAAACGCTAGGAAAGTAAAACAATCCCTCTAATATACTCCTTCATCCATGCCTAACAGATACTATGGAGCACAATCCTGCAAGTTCAGGCTTCTCGCTCCCGAGAGAAACAGAAAAAGCCAACTTGAACCAAGTCACTTTATTGGATGGAGGGCAATACACAAAACACAAGAGAAAAGAGGGGTGATATTTGGTACAGAGTATGAGAACTGTTTATCTAGATAGCTGAAGATGCATGCATGGCTGGACAGTAAAGTAGGAGTCCCACTGAAACCCACAAGGTGGCTCCTGGCAAGACTTCAGCTCTCATTGTCACTGTCCCCAAGGGTGTGCTTGTCAAAGAGGTACTCTGCCATGCCATATTTTGGTGCCCCCATCTTCCGCAGGTTGGTCACATGGTCACCCAGCTCTTTGATGGATTTCACCTGTTCATCCAGGTAATGAGTCTCAATGAAGTCACACAACTGAAAGGCAGGGGGAGGGAGGAAAAAAAAAAGTTTAAATTTATGCCTGGACATAAATTAAGTTTAAATTAAGTTTAAATTTATCCCGCTGAAACAGCATCTGAAATCCTCCCAAACCTCTCTAGAGAAAGGGTAAGGCACAGAATAACAATTTTGAAAACGCAGAAGATACCCAAGAGGGAGAAGCTTTTAGTTTTGCCTCAGCAGTGCCAGAACAAGACCAAAGTGAGGCAGGCTTATCTCGACACACTTGCTCCAGAACCCTGCAGCACAAGGTCAGCTCAGGAAGCAGTAGGAAAGTTTCTGAGCAGATTAAGAGCCCTGACTGCACAGCACTTTAATTCATGACCATGAGGATTTACACCTGTAGAACAGCCCAGCTATGTTGCTTCTTTTAAAAGTCCTTCTAACTTATGCTATGACTACTTTGAGTCAGACACCTGCTAATCTTTTTCTGATACTAAGAAGCCTCAATCCAACTTTGCCAGTAACTTCCATCTGCGAAGAAACCTGTGTTCTGAAGTGTCAGGGCTTTTAACATTCAGAACTTCTCCTAAATTTTAGGAGAGCGTTACAGGCATCCATTGGTTTAAAGAACTCATCTCTCACAGAAACAAGCCTTCTCTATAGCGCTTGATACATTTCTTCTCTTCAGAATGCTCTCCACACGAGTGCCCTCTGTTCCCAAGAGCGACAGAAGGGTGTGAACAAAGCAATGCGCCCGCTGCTCTGTTAAGGTAGGCCTCAGCCACCCTAACACACTGCAACTGGTCCTCCTGGAAAAAGATGGCAATAATCCCACCAAATGGCTAAGGTACAGGCAGACATCTGGCCCCTTCCCTTTGGAAAGGCTACACCACTACTTCACACCCTTTTTTTCACTTTTAGGAACATCAGGGACACAACTCACCCCTAAACCCACACAATTAAACACATACAAGCCCCATCATTGCATAGCCATATCCTCAGCTTCAGCATCTACTTACATGTGGGTCATTCTTTTCAGTTGCCAATTTGTGCAGTTCTAACAGTGACTGGTTCACATTCTTCTCCAGGTGCAGGGCACACTCCATTGCAGTCAGTCCATTCTCCCAGTCATCACGATCTGGCTTCTAGAACGGGAAAGCACACAACCATATTTTCTTTAAGCACCCACAGACCATCAGGGAGCAAGTTTTTCAGATCAGTCTCAGTTCAGTCATTTAGGTATTTCTAAAATCCTGGGGGACACACAGAGCACTCGGAACAGAACTGAATGCATGCTCCAAGTCCCAGACCTGTCCCTACTCCCTAGGTTCCCCTCATGTTATGTTCTCTGAAGTCTTGTAGGCAAGACAGCTACTAGAGCTAATTTCTTGCCCCTCCTGTTATAACCTAATGGCTTAAAACATCTGCCTAAGTAGGCAATGGGGACCATCTCAGAAATGAACCAGTTAAGACACCAGTACAGGCAAATCTAGTCTTCAGCTCAGAACTGCATAGTATAAAGTCTGGTGTTTACAAGTACTCACACTTACCAGTAAGCAAGGGAATTCTTCTGAAGTGCCCATCACTTACTTTTTTTGCCATTTTCCCCATGAAGAGTTGTCTTGCCTTAAACTGTCCCTACAATATTGCTTACTTTCTGCAGTTATGAATAAACTAATTAAAGTGACTTCAAGAAAACACTGCTGTGAAGTCTTGTAGTGAGCCATAACAAGCAAGCGGAAACTTGGGATTTCATATTCCCACTGCAAGCAAGTCAAGAGTTCTCTACAAAACAGTGCAGAAAACAGAGAAGGCTCCTACCACTAAATTTAAGGTAGACGAACCAGCTGTGTTCTAGTTACCCTCACCCCACCTAGGGCTGCAGATCCTCTTCTTACACAGGAAGTACTTTTTATTAGTCGATTAGCACAAATCATTGAATTACTAAGCATCTCTAGATTGTGGGCTGAGTGCCACGCACAGATCGCAGCAATGCGGCATGCTTATCTACTGTGAGCTTGCTGCTCCTTCTGAGAGACAACCTACAGGGAAATTCATCCCCTTCCAGCCTGGAGACAGACCACAAGTCCAGTTCTGCATTAGATAGGACAACCCATAATTCCACTCCTCACCTTGATGTCCTGCAAGAAGATGCGTCCGCCCCTCTGATTCTGTAGCTTCATCAGTTTCTCAGCATGCTCACGCTCCTCGTGGGACTGATGCAGGAAGTACTTGGCAAAGTTTTTCAGAGCCACATCATCCCGATCAAAATAGTAAGACTGAAAAATAAGAATTCATATGCTCAAAACCCCAAGCCTCACTCCAGCAGTCATACAAAGCCAAGTCTGTACTGTGACTTCAGATACGTCTCCTATCAGCCCTACTTCAAGATGGCTGGAGTCCAAACTAAGGCTAGCAGTAGCACTGACGACAGCAAGGCAGTGTGGCAAAACTCTTCCCTTAGTAACAAGTTAGATTTTCTTGACTAGGACTAAATTTTAACCTGTATCCCTACCATCCCCACAAACAAATGGTATTTGTGGTTCAGTTCTGAAGATACAAAAAACTCCAGACCCCACAGACAGATGGATACCTGTTCTTCTGAGCACCGTTCAAATGCCTTAAACACAGCAGATCTGAAAAGCCTTCTTCAAAAAGGAGAAATCTTCCCCTGCTCCCTTTTTTTTGCCCGAGTTTGTTTACAAAGTTCACAAGTCAAAGTTCTGACTTTCAGGGTGGCCAAAAACTTAAAGTACTTCTGTAATAAAGCTCCCATACTTCCTTAGGCTTATCAGGGACTGGGATTAGACTAAGCAGCACACTTTCGACTTTTGGAAAAAAAATAGTATCACGTTTAAAAGACAAAAGGTAAACTGAACTAAAATACATATTCATCAGCAAATACAAGGTCATCCTTTTTGAAAGCCCCAAAGAAACTGCAACAGCAGTTAGAAGCCATCACACAGCTTGTTTGTTCTTTGGTCAAAGCCATTAGGCAGGACTCAATGGAAAGCTTTGTATCAACTGCCAGTTATTTACCAGACAAACAGCTACTGAATTCTCTGCTCTTAAACCGGCAGCTTGGAGGTTCAAGGCAAGACACTGGTGCTTTGGTACCACTATCATCCACCAACATAATCACATTAAACTCGTAGCTGAGGTTCAGACCATCACAGATAGCAACACAGAAGCAAGATGTGAAGTTCTACACCTAAATGCCACAACACACTACAGTGTCACTAGAAAGGCTCAAGTTACTTGCAACATCTACAGCACCAAGATTGCTGCACAGAGGTCAGAGCTGCTGTTTGGACCAAAGTTACTCATCTGAGCTATGGCTAAAATGGGAGTCTCGTGCCAAGTCAGACATGTAAGCACAGCGCCAAGGAAACCACGGATTCCTACCGAATTCGCTTCAAAAACCACGAACGAAAAACCTTGCCTCAGAGACAAGAACGCCTGTGGGAGAGGTGCCAATTGCTTCGTTAGTCAACTCCTGCTATCCAGCCCAGCCCCAAGGGCAGAGCCGCTTGGAAGCTGCTGAGCTGAGCTGATAACGAGTCCGCCAAGGGCAACGGACAGAGAGCGGTTAACGTGTAACTCAAGTTCGCCACCGAGATAAAGGAAAACACCTACAGAAAACAAGCGGGCGCCCCACCCCCAGGGGAAGGCCGAGAACGCCCCAAAGGCGGGGGGGGGGAGGAGGAGGAGCGGGCCTGCGCCCGCAGGCACCGCCCGGCCCTCGGGACCCCCCCCCACCAACCGGCCAGCCTGTGTGGCCGGGCCCCGGG